GAGCAGGCTGGAAGACATTAATGGAGGGAAAGTAGGACCTATGTAATACTTTCAAAAATAAAGAATAAAAGGGAAAAAAAAGAAATGAGCAAATGAGTCAAGAGGATCCTAGGGGAAGAGAGTGTCCTAGGTAGAGGCCGCAGCCAGTGCAAAGGCCCTGGGCAGGACTGTGCCTGGCACAGGAGCAGCAGGAGGGAGAGAGGGGCAGAAGGAGGAAGTGAGAGGGAGGGGGTGGGGTGGGAGGTGATGGGAGCATGTTGCTTAGGGTCTTGTGGGTCACTGTGAGGACTTCAGCTTCTACACCTAGTGATGTGGGAGCCACGGAGGACTCTGAGCAGAGGAGGGACCTGACCTAACTCGGGTGTTCCCGGTGCCCTCTGGCCACTGTGGGAGAACAGAGTTTGGGGAACATGAGTGGGAAGGATGAGGGCTGGGCCAGGGAGGTGGTGAGAGGTGGCCATTTATGGACAGAATGTGCAGGTGGAGCCAGCTGGATTTTCTGACAAGATGTGGGTGTGAGAGAAAGCAGTGGGTGGGAGCTGGCAGAACTGCACCAGGAGACTGGGGTGGGGCCCATCCTGTCACAGGTCAGAGGAGACTATGTTCAGCTCTGGGAATGCCAGAGGCAGGCACACACCTACCATGGTGGACACATACGGACAGCCAGGCCCCGGGCCACCCTCACCACAGAGGTGGCATGTGTGCCAGCCCCTGCAGACACCTCAGAGAGAAGGAGGAAGGGAGACTTCCTGCATGGGGCTGAAATTGATCCCTGCAACACCTGAGAAGCTGTGACTTTGAGTTTGCCTCAAAGTGTCCAGATTGTGCCCTAACCGGTTAGGCTCAGTCGATAGAGTGTCGATCTGCAGACTGAAGGGTCCCAGGTTGGATTCCTGCCAAGGGCATGTGCCTTGGCTGCGGGCACATCCCCAGTAGGAGGTGTGCAGGAGGCAGCTGATCGATGTTCCTCTCTCGTCAATGTTTCTGACTCTCTAGCCCTCTCCCTTCCTCTCTGTGAAGAATTAATAAAATATTTTTTTAAAAGTGTCCAAATTGTGACAGGTGAGTGTCTGGCCAACAGGAAGTCAGGTTACAAGACTAGGAAGTTCTTATTTGCATACCCGGAACCCATGAAAATCGCACCTATGGCAAGATCCCCTGGCCAGCTGCTGGCTTGGTGGGAGAGTTAGCAGGAGGCAGCGGGTACTGAGCTCAGGGGCAGGCCCATGGCACTGCCACGGCGAGGTGAGGGATGAGGAACGCACAGGGTCTGGAGTCTTTCCTTTTCCTCTTCCTCTTTCTTCTCATCAGGAAGCTCTCCCGGAAGCAGGAACCCCTGCCCCACCACCTTTAAGCCCTCATTGCTGAGTATCTCAATGAGCATATGTGCATTCACTCCTAGGAAGCTCCAGGATACATGCCTGCTTGTGTGTGCCTGCTGCTTGCAGGACATGCGTGTGTGCATTTGGTGCCCCATGTGCTCAGACCACACATGAGCTGGAGGTGGGCTTGGGTGGCTTCTCCAGCTCGGCAAAGGCCCCGATTTCATACTCACCATGGCCAAGGGAGCTTCCTGCCTGCATCGCTCACTGCTTGCAGCCTAAGAGGGGGAGGCTGAGGACCTGGGCCCTGTTATACACGGATCCCTAGAGCTGCTGTCTCAGGGGCCTCCAGCCGCTAACAAGCCCCCCAGGGCTCAGGCAGGAGAGACCCTATGGGTTTCTCTCCCTCCTGGAAACTGGAGACCCCAGGGTTCACTTCTCCGGCCCCCAGGCTCTGGTGGCAAAAAATGGAAAGGACTAATGATGATTTCTTGTTGTGGATGGCTGTCACAAATCCTCTCTCCACCCCATCAGTGCTCCCCAGGGCTTGTCAGTGCCCACCCTGCTTGGCAAAGCTGCTACCCAAGGAAAATGCACCTTGAACCCTGCCCTAAAGGGGGGAAGGAAGAAGTGGATCCCTTGATGTTGTTATGCAAATGTTCCCCAGGCTCAACTTCTTAGAGTGACCACAGCCCCTGGATCCCTCTCCCTGTTCTCAGAATTAGTCGCCAAATCTCTACTCTTCCTCCCCAAGTTCCCATCCCATCAGCCCCACCTGAACTCAGGCTACGACAT